TTTTGCAGTCTCCATTCGGTCATCTGTTGGAGCAAGCCAACCTCTTTTGGCAGGCCTACCTCTCCCATCCCCTTCCCCTGCCCAGTCTGCTGCTCTGCTTCCTACTGCCAGCCCTGTGCTCCTCCCTGCCTGATCAGCTCCTCTACTTCCCAGTCCTCTCTGCCTGATTTACTGCTTTGCTTACTGCTTTTTGCCCCATCTGCTCCTGTTCTTCACCAATCTGCAATGTGCCACACACCCAAGCCACAGGTTGACCAGCCCTAGTCCATGCGGAGTGAACTCTGCTAAGAAAGCAAACTGTTTTCTATAACTTAACAGATCTCCAAAGACCACAAGCACTCTGTCTTCTTTAATTGTTGAATACCAAGAAGAAACTTGAAAGGGCTTTTCAGTCTAATGTAGAGTTATGCCATGCAAAAAGTTGCACTGTCCATGTGAAAGGTTAATGTTTTTGAACAGTAATAGGCACCTGCTAGCAACACTATGTAGCAATAGTAATGTTTTTGACAGCTCTTCCCCCTGAAGGCAGCTTCAGATGGTCTCAGGACTTTCACTAAAATGGTACTTGGGAACAGTACCCTGCAAAGTCTGAGTAGTAGCAACTAGAGATGAAACAGATGTGTGGCTTAACAGAATGCAAGCTGCCCAAAAAGGATCTTTCTGGTGTTTACAGACATTTCCATTAATCCTAATAGCAGCTTTTTAGCAGATTCTGATAAGGCAGTTTCCAGTGTTATACTTAGGTGAGTAGGCGCAGGGAGCTGGCACGCTGATGGGCAGAAGTCCTTAGGGACTTTTCGACTCCGTGGTTCACTTGCCACTTGATATTTGAATCTCTGCCCCAGGTCTTATTACTTGAAAAAATTGACCCAAACAAACAGTTAGTATGGTTTAAGTGCTCTGCAGAGCTTACTGTCAGTATTTTTATTATTATTTGAAATGTAAATGGCTAGATATTTTTATCCAAAATATCCCCAGTGTAATTTTTTTAGGAATATTATCTTAAAAATGTAATATAAAATGCTCATTAATTGCATGCTTATAATAAAATTTCTCCCATTTGAGACTTCTGACTGGCTAACCAATTTCCTTAAGCAACATGGTTTTTCCACATGATAGACTCCCTCATTTTCCTCAACTCAAGAAATACAGATACTGTCATTTTAATTGGAAGGCTCTGACACAGCCTGAATTAATTCAGAAAACAAAACTTCATTTTTTTTTAATTTAAAAAACTCATGCAAATAGGTGTAAATACCAGTTTACACCTATTTGGAAATGGAAAATTAGAGACACGCTTCTTGAACATTTCTTTTTCCATAAGCTGACCCAACCCAGGATTTGCACGAGGCTGGACATGCAGTGACACTCTCAGGCTGAATAGCTTTGTGTGCTAGAAACACCACCATGTATCACAGGAGATTGTGTGGATGTTCCAGATATCATCGTGCCACCCTGCTCTGTTCTGCCAATTTGGCGTCTGCTCGGATGGAGTTAGGCTGCACCCACAGCCCATGTCAGATAAATGCAGGAAGCGTGTGCATAAGGGTTTGTCTGAACACAAAAGCTGTGTGCCACTTGAATTGTGCCAGTACAGTTAACTGGTTCAACTCCTTTCCCTATCTGCTTCCATCCGGATTGCAGTTGTACTGCTGTAAATATGCTTGTACTATACTAGGAGGAGGTCTAAGCATGGGTAAAAAAAAAAAAATCACACCCTTAGCAGACGGTTACACGACAGCTGCCATCCCATTGCTACCCCTTCCCGGTTTGTGGCACGGTATTTTAAGTGCTCATCTCAAAATGTGTCCCACTTCGTTTGTGAAGAAAGCGAACGTTTTCTTTTTCTCTGCTATTTCTCTGCTTTTCATCAGTAACATAGTTAAGGAGTTTGGTGTAAACCGGTGATCAGTAGACACGTAGTTCACACTCCAGAGAGATGGAGAGGGTGGTTCACACATTGCAGAGCTGTTGTTTTGGTCTCTTAGCCAACTTGTCAGACATCACTGCACTGCTTCCTCTGTTCACATGTTTAAGGCTTTTGCAGCCTGAAGGGGTTGAGAGTCACTATTTTTAAAATGAGATCTGAGGCTCTGTCTACAGTATGGAGGTTTGCCCGCAGGATTTCAAAAGCCCCATGGTAACAGAACCTGCCATCCTGCCCTTGGAGTTATTCCAGCTGCTGAGTAGAGGAAGGCTTCTGCTGGCAACCAGCTGAAGGCGTGGAGGAACGTTCCTGCACCTCCAGCAGCTTACCATAGTCTAGGGGTTGGCAACTTTTTTGGGTAGAGTGCCAAAAACACCAGCAACTTTGGCTTGTAAGATGTTGGTGTGGCAGGGGCAGAAGGGAGGGGAGCCACGAGGGGCCTGATCCTTGTTGTGGCAGTACAGCCTCGGCCCCTTCCTTATCGTCCACCCTGATGCACATATGCACCCGCCGCACAGGGCTGCGCAGACCTTGGTGCAGCTGGTTGCAGATTCCTGGCTGCACGCCAGAGCTGGCCCATGCTCCAGATAAGCCGCTGCCACGGAGCCCAGGCACAGCAGAGAGGCTGCAAATGGTCTTAAGATCCCCAGCCTGACTCATTGCTGGCGACGGGTGCATGCGTGCCTCAGGGCAGACAGCTGGGAAGGAACTGGGGCTGCACTGCCACAACAAGAATTGCGCCCCTCATCTGTCCCAAGGCACATGCCAATCAAAATGTCTTTGCATGTGACACGCTGGCACATGTGCCAGGAGGTTGCTTACACCTGCCCTAGTCCTTTCAGCAGCCGGTGGCTTCACAGCATGCATTGGTGACATAGCTGGATGCCCAGAAGTACATGGACATGCAGGTGAACTGCTTGCAGCAGTCAAAAACTTCTGCTGAGTGTAGCCATAGCTTGAGGCTCTGGAGAGCGAAAGGCGGCTCACAAGCAAGCACTGAGAAACACTGCCGGTCTTGCACGACCCAGAACCTTGGCCTCCCCGGGTGTGGAAGTTAAGCCACCTTGGCATTTGGCAGGAAAACAGTTACAACACTTTCCCCATCTTTTGTCAAACCCTTACCATTAGCAAAGTCCTGGAACGGCAAGGCAGCAACACGGTCAGTTCATCAAAATGATCTCGTGTTCGAGTGCCTTTCTCCTTTATATCTAAAAGGTCGTTCAACTGGAAAATGAGCGGAGAATTGTGTAGAACATCAACAACTCGTGTCTTGATATTGACTGTTGCCTTCACTTTGGGTGGAAGTCTGGAGAAAAATCAAACGAAAGAAAAAAAGCTTTTTTAATCAAATACCAAATATTGCCTAAAAATAATGTTGCTGCCACGCAACCTGTTCAGTATTTGAAATTTACATATGGGGTAAACACATTCTGTGTGCAGAAAAAGCTTTAGGTCCATGTTTCTTTCTTTCAGTTCATGCAAAGAGGGTTGGATTCAGAAACTAAAAAGCAGCTTGAAGAGGAGGAGAAGAAGATAATTAGTGAGGAACACTGGTACCTGGATCTACCCGAACTCAAGGAAAAGGAGTGAGTTTGTTATTTCTTTGTGTCACTAATCTGGCCATTCTGGGGAAATAGAAAGTACTATACATTAATCCTTTTTTGTATTAGAAATGCCACGAGAGTAATAGTGATTTTTAGTCACCAATAAAACCTGGTAGGTCTATCATATTTACTGCAGCCTTTTATTGTAAGGAACATTCAAAGTTGCTTTGCTCAGAGTTTGACCTACCTCTCTTTGTATTTTCATCAGTCTTGTGGTCTTCTGGTATCTGTGCTGTTCTCATCAAGCAGCAAAGATTCATTGTTTCTTCCCTTGTTTAACAAGAAGAAACAGTAATTTAGGCCCAGCTTTGCAGTCAGGTCCACATGGGGGAACTCTGGCTTGTGCTGATTTCAGGTGAGCTTTGTACAGGCACGGGGATATGTCTCTGACTTCCTGTTGCAGAACTGAGGAGCCTCATGGGCTCCGCCAGAATAAGGAAAACCTTTTGAGGCAAGGGAATAAGCTTCGTTCCTGCCTTCCAAAGAGAAGCAACAAGCGGTCGGAGCACTATTTTAAACACATCTTGACTTCCTTTCTTAAAGGACAAAAAAATCTGAACAAAAGGCAATGTTTTCTTAACATCTGAAGTCCAAAGAATTAATTGCACAGGAATAAGGTCACTTAGATTCAGCATTCTGTGCATGTGTGTGGCAGGGCAAATAGTTCAAGGTAGTACATTGATCTAACCCATGTGTGTGCTAATTCTTTCTGGCAGATTTCTTTTTGTTTATTTATTAAAAAGGGAAAAGGAAAAACATCTTTTTAAGTTGAAGAGAGAACCATATTGTTTTGTTCTTTTTCAGCCTCTACCAAGGTCAGGCCTACACTCGAAAACTTTGCCAATGTAAAAATGTCAGCAACAGCAAAACCACTCCCATAGGCAACATCTGAAAGTTTGGCTGGTACAGTAATGTTGCCCACGGGTGTGATTTCTTTCACAAAATTTTTCTGCTCGCAGCAGTCCTGGTGCAGATGAAGTTCTGTTGGCAGAAGAGCGCTTTTGCTGGCGTCGCTGCTTTTGCTTGTGAAACTGGTCTAAGCTGGGCTGGCCAAAGCTCTCGTCGCCATTCTGACCTACATTTGCACTGGATGCTTTGGCAGTATGGTTGTCAGAAGACCTTTTATAAACTAGGTCTGTCCTCTGACACTTAAAGACTCTTGGTTTTTGTCTTTTCTTGCTTTTGGGTGTTGTGACCATGTTAAGATACTGCTCAAACAACTGCTTGGTTTTGGGTTACATACAGGAGTTTTATAATAGAAGAAAGAAGCTTTATGCCATGTGAAGACCTACTGTATGGCAGAATGTCCTTTAAAGGGTTCAATCCAGAAATTGAGGTATTATCAAATATTCTTTTTTTCTATTAATTTTTGTAAGAAAATCCCTAAATTGAGTTAAGCTTCAGTCTCTGATTCAGATTCTTACCCTCCTTGAAGCAAGGAGGAGTTGACAGAAGATGACTTCAGTGAAAGTTATTTGAGCTTACTTTTACCCCATACTCTGAAGTATGCATTGCCTAAATTTGACTAATCTTTTTGCTTCCAATTAGTGTCCCACTAATGAGGTTAAACATGGTAGCTTCCTTCCCCCATCTGCATTCCCAACAAAGTCTGCTGACCCTGCATCTAGGTGCTTGATTCCTTTGCTTCATTTGCTGACCCGCTGTTCCTTTGCACCCATTGATCATTTTTAACTTCTAGAAGTCGAGCTCTTAGCTCATGAATTTTGGAATAAATGTTGTCATGCAAAACACAAACAAAATCAGATTGAAGAATACCAGCAAACTTTTTCACATTTCATGCCAAAAACCTAGCAGGCTGGTGGGGAGGCAGTGTTTGCTTTCATTAGGTGATCCAGATTTTGGGTCCTGGGTGGATATTCAAGAGACCTCTTGTCAAGAGACCTGTTGACTTGCTGTGTAACCTGGGTCAGGTCACGTTAACTCAGTGTCTGATTTATCCACGTGTGAAATGGTGTCAGCAATGTTTTCTTTCTATATTTTTTTCCTATTCTGTGAATGAAAAGTGCCATTTTCATTGGAGTTGGAATTAGTTGGATCTGTTCATTCAGTTGCTGCCTTTTGCATCCAGGCAACTGCTTTGAATTTTGACCAAGTCAGGAGGGATTGAAAGCTGGCCTACTGGAAATAAGTTGGTCTCTTCCCAGTCCCTGGTTGACTTGTCTTATTTCACACATCAATATCCATTGGCACCAGTGTTGATTATTTCAGTGGAATAAGTTAGGCAGTTGAATTGCCTTTCTCTGCTAGAGATGGCTCCAAATTAGAGTTGAGATGCAGGTGGGTGGCTGCTATGGAGGTGTTCGCACTTTGTCCCGTGACACAGAAGTACCCTTCACAAGGTTTTAAGTGTATTTCAACCTGAAAAGATTGAGATTTGAGCAAAGTTTTTTGGAAGTCAGGTGTAAATTCTGAAAATATCTCGCGCTCAGCTCCTTGTATTCACATGCCAGTAACTCCCTGACTCCTGCTTGTTTTCCTTCCCCTCAAAGGACAGGGGCTTTGTTTTCCATATGCTACTTGCCGAGCAACTGCCTGAACTCATTACTGTAACTCTCTTCCAGTATTTTTTTAGTCATCCTGTTTGCTGCTTAACTTAGGGTACAACCCTACAATCTTTCAGCCCCATTGACTGGAGGCTATTTGTGCAAGTAACGGACTTGAAGTATTATGTTCCTTCTGGGCAGAGATATCTTTATTTTCTGGTCAGTGTCATGTATCTCTTGGTATGTTAAAATCATTACCATTGATTTGAATCGAGCAGCTAAAAATGACTGTGAAAGGATGACTTAAGGTGACTTTGTATCTGATATGATTGAGTGGGAAATTATGATTACAGTCTTGCCATGCCTTGGCATCCTGCCAGTTGTATTTTTTGTTATTGTCAAGCCTTACAAACAAGATTTTTCCCTTGTCAAATGAACATCTTCAAGTGCCTTCATTCCCAAATTTGCTTTCATTTTTAAGATAGAGGAATTAGGTACCCTAGACAAGGGTTATCAAACTCATCTGGCCCACAGGCTGAAGAAGGTGAGGCTGGGCTGTTTCAGACCCACCAACCCACCCTAAATTCTACTTGTGCATGCACAGCCAGTCCAAGACCTGCAGGCAGCACTGCAGTCTGGATGATAAGGTCCCACAGACCAGATTTGGCCCATGGGCCCTCTCTTTGACACCTCTGCCCTAGATGATACCTGTCAGTTGGGAAAAAAACTCCATCTAAATAACATTTTTAAGGAGTTATCTGCTGTTTCTTTAACACAGCCACAGGCTGTAGTGCTTTGCCATTTAAGTAGCTTCAGCTGTTAGGAGCAGTTATAAATCCCAATCACAGATGGGAGGAGCTCAATCAAAGACAAAATCAGAAGCAGGTAATATTATATTGGAATAATTGAAACTGGAGGAAATGATATCAGAAAGTATATTATTTCCAGTTTTGTCTTGCTTGGTCTAGACTGCTTTACCAGTCCTCGCTGAGATTTAGGGGACAGGAGGCGCTTCCCTGAGTGAGCTGGCCAAAAATGGTCTGCGTGGATGGGGGTAGTTGCAAGGCTCAGGCCAGGTACATCTGACCACCACCCCCCAGTAGAGATGGAAGGAAAGCAACCATTCACACTTGCATTTGCTGGTTTCTTGGAATGACAGCACTATGTGTTACCTTTTATTCAAGGTTTCTGGTCATCCACCTTTTAGTACTAAGTGATTGCTGCAAACAGGGAAAAGCAGGAGCAAAATCTCGGGGAGAAAGAGTGCTTGACTGCATTTTAAAATGAGTTTCTCTTATGAGTAAACATCGTTGTAGTTTACATTCTGCCAAAGAGTTAAATACAAAACTGATTTCCTATTTCATTTTCAGAAGTTAATGATCCAAATGAACTCTAGGTGCAAAAAAGAAGAAATTGAAGCAGATGATAAAATGGAGGCTGATGTATCAGATGAAGAAATGGCCAGAAGGTAAGTTATGTTTTATGACATAGTTAAAATTACCAAGCAAAAAGATGTGTGACTGTGTGTTTACAAGAGTGTTTATAATAAAGAGCAAACTTATGTATTGTGCAAAATTCTCGTTCCCCATAAGAAATTTGAAGATGTGTTCACTGAAATCTCCTTCACCTCATTACTTTCTTGAGAAATAATCTGCAGCTATTTTGTACCTCCTGCATGATAGAAAGCAAAATTGGTCCATTAAAATTCTGCCAATATCTCTTTGCCTGTAGTAGCTATTTCATAGATTGTTATTCCTCCTAGGAATCTATAGCTTATTGTGCATGAGTTTGTGTAGTTTTTTATGAAGAAAAGTAATTAAATTTTATTTTTAATATCTTTACAGATATGAATCTTTAGTAGGAACAATAGGGAAGAAATTCTTGAAGAAAAGAGACCGCCATGAATTACAGGACGAGGATGAAGATGAGAATAGTAATTTGAAACCTAGCAATGTTAAGAAAATGTTCTTAAAACCTCAGGATTAATGTGAAACTGTACTACTGGAGCTAATAGAAATGTTATTTACCAAGTTCAGTAACATGAACTGGGGTTGCTTGTTTTCTGTTATATAACATAAAATAATATATATTTGAAATTTCTGCTGTCCACATGACATCTTTTCAAAGTGGATGCATACACAATGGATGTCGTACATCCTTTCCTTTTTTGAGCATATTTTATTGAGTACGGGGCTGTGAGCCTCACAGCTCTTTAATGTTATGCCTAAGTATAGAATGGCTGTCACATGTAGTTAGGAGTAACAGCATTTTGATCATAACTGAAAGCCAGTATTTGAGCTGAAGATGAGCTATGGCCAATTTTATAAAGCAATCTAGCTTTCATTGCTTTTTTTATTGTATAAAATGAAATCCCTTTACACTTTTAAAATTGAAAACATAACAAACTTACATTTCTTCAACAGTTCTAAAAATGAATAGTAGAAGGAGCACAGATTAAATCCATTTAATTGAATTCTTTTATAAAGTGTTTTAAAAAGTACTTTTTTGTAGCAGAAGCATTTTTTCCCTAAAACAAGCTAGATGTTTATATTGGGTGACATTTTCAGTTTGACAAAATTGGACAGATCATGATTTTTAACCTCCTTCCTGCAAAAAGTTAGTCAATCTTGTTTGTTTGCTTTTTTTCCTGTTCTGGAAAAAAAAATGTGATTTTTTTTTTTTTTGTAAACATCTAAGGTCTGTGACCATGGCATAATGACTGCTTCAGGAACCATGTCTTAAAATCAAATAAAAAGTTCTGATTTAATTGCTGTGGTTTAGATAACATACAACAAATTGTGCAACTTAATGTAGTGTTATGCGTCATACTTTATTCGATAGTTTAGCTGTAATGCCTAGCTTAGATGCTCCAAACTAATAATAGTCATCAAATGTCTTTGCTACAACATTTTCGAAATAGGAATTTCAAGTATTTTGCAATAGAAACAGTACAGACCTTTGGTTACTCACTGCTCTGGGCTAGAGCTGAAATTACAATAGGATTCTATATCTTACCCTTCTGCAATAAATATGCTTTGAATATTATTTTCCTTCCTTAGCTAGGTGGCCAAGTTGCTGAGAAGGGAGGCATTTGGAGGTTTGCAAGAGTCATTCTATCACAGGGCCTAAGAGGCTTTTTTTGGAACCAGCTCAGTGAAGCAAGATACAAAACTCAATTATATAAAGTAAGAGGCTGTGTATCTACAGTAGTTTGCAAGTATGATGTATGGGCTACGATCCATATATCAAAAGCACCTAATTAGATATTCAAGATGGATTGCACATGGGAAGAAAAATACGTTTTAACCTAGTGAGGGAGCTTAATAAAGATAGAAAGTATATGATTCATGATCTGAGAGAGGTTTTCAGAGCTAATTAAATGCTACTGGTTCAATTACTTAAAACTTGGCCATATATTATCACCAGTTGAGCAAAAGTTAATGATCGCAAGGCATTTTTCTTCCCGTGGAAAATGTGACCTAGGTAAGAAATGATCTATTGTTGGTCATCATAAGAAAAACTCAGGATATATCCCATTATTCTTTCTTGCATGTCATTAGGAAAATTATTCTTCTTTATGTGAATTCATTCTTTTTACTAGAGGCAGCATTTATGAATAACTATGGGATATTTTGGGGAAACCATATTCTAGCAAAATACAAGTGACCACTAGATGGCACTTTAATTTCACTTGACTTCAGGACTTTTGAACTGATGACATTTTATAGCTGTCAAATGAAGGGGTCTTTTGTTTAAATTATTATAGGAATTATTTGCGACGCCTACTAATAATATAAAAAGTCTTAACCCTTCACTGAGATATTTTTCCTATATAAGGGCTGTATGAAACACAAACACTTTGATTTGCTTTGCTTTCGGAGTTCCCCAAAATGGAATTATGTCATTTGATTAAAGGGAGGTTAAAAAAAACCCACAGAATCGCACAGAAATCTCTATGACCTGGGGTTTGCTCTACAAAGTATGTGTGTGTTTGTACCTATGTACGTAAGTGCACAGATATAGAAAGCTGTGGGTAGAGGAACCTAAGTTTCAGCAGCTTCATACAAAGCTCACATTCTGTCACTGCAGGGTAAGAGAAAAAATAAGTAACCCCAGCACAACCCTCATCCATTATATAGATCTTTTAAGAAAGATTATATTTATGGTAGCAATCTTTTAAGATAGATTATATAGATCCTTTAAAAGATGGCTAGAAGTTTGAAAGAGCTCTTGCTTTTAGTTAGATGATCTAGTCAAATGCAACTTTAAAAACAGCTGATAAGATGAAGCCTCCTTATTCAGCGGCAACTACAAAATACAGTCTTAAGAGCAGGGGTTGGCATCCCGCCTTCCCCTCACCATCCTACTGTTCCTTCTCACCCCTTCCCCTCCTCCTATCACCACAGGCTGCTGCCAAATCCTCCCCAGTATCCTGGCTTCACAGACCAGAGAATCACTCTGCAGACTGGATATGGCCTGTGAGCCTTAGGTTGCATCCCCCTGTTAATAGTATACATTGTATTGCAACGTTGAGCTGGTGGCCAAACCCTCAGTGACAAACTGATTTTTTTAAAGGTAGTTCTGTGCTGACAGATACCACTGCGCAATGCTGGGGCTTTATAAATCCCCCCATGTGCCTATCAGCATCTTTAGGCACCAGCAGTTTTTAAAGCAGGCCTTAGGTTTTAACAGCTGAGATGCATCAGTGTTTTAACTCAGGCTTCAGTACATGGCACGTGTGTCCTCATTGACCATTCATACCACTAAGAACGGTTCAAGTGTCATTGAGAACCTAGCTCCCTATTCCTTGGAAAGTGAATATTGGCATTCTACGTCTGCCTTACTAACACACTCCATCAGGAAATCTCAGGTAGTTAGCCATGAGCACTCTTGCTGAAAGCAGCACGTGTGGACAACAGAGAGGAACTGGTGCAAGTAATCAGGAAAACTGCAAACTCGGTCAACAAGTTAGCAGCTCCTTCTGCTATATGTTTACAAGGGTGTTGAGTAGAAGCTTTTATTTTCATCCTCAGCATGCGAGCACCAGTCCATCAACATGCCCAGTGTTGCTCAGAATGGGTCAGGAGTTCCAGCAGGTCATAATTAAATGTTACTTATCTGGACTTAACAAATATGACAGCCTACACTTTCACCTCTTTTCTACAAAAGAAAACATTTCATGGCCTTTTTATCTATTATGTTAGTCAGCTGATGCCTACAGGGCTTGGTTAAATGACATTTGATTGTTGAAAGACGTGACTCTGAAATGATCTGCCCAAGATGATGATAAAACGATTGTGTTAGCTTTTATTCTTCCCTTTTTTGAAACCAGTTGGACAGTTTGGCCCATCTGTAGCTACCAATACTGGGAAGACATGAGAATTGCACAATTTCCCTTCTGTTGTCTCTTCCTCCTGGCTTGGTACTTTTTGGTCTGCTTAGTATTGAATATAAAACATCACAGGGACAGAGTCTGGCTGAAGTGGGTACGCAGCCTATGTCTTGCCTCCAATGATCCGTGAACTGATTAAACTTTGTTCTTTGTGATTTTTTTTTAATTGCTTTGCTAAGCTTTTTTTTCCAATGGCATCTCAGAGTTTGAACCATGTTTCATTTGTTATGAATAGTTGTCTCCTAAAGAGCCCTCACTAGACAACTGATGGTAGACAGACTCCATTGAGCACTGAGTATGCGTAGGAATTGGATGTGTACAAGTACATGGGGCTAGATGGGATGCATCCAAGGGTGCTGAGGGAGTTGGCTGATGTGATTGTAGAGCCATTGGCCATCACCTTTGAAAACTCATGGCGGTCACAAAAGGTCCCAGATGATTGGAAAAGGGCAAATATAGTGCCCATATTTAAGAAAGGGAAGGAGGAGGGTCCAGAGAACTACAGGCCAGACAGTCTTACCTCAGTCCCTGGAAAAATCATGGAGCAGATCCTCAAGAAATCCATTCCTAAGCACTTTGGAGAAAAAGGTCATTAGGAGCGGTCAGCATGGGTTCAAGTTACGCCTGACCAACCCAATTGCCTTCTACGGTGAGATGACTGGCTCTGGATGCGGGGAGACCGGTACTTTGATTTTAGCAAGACTTGATGCAGTCTCCCACAACATTCTTGCAGGGAAGCTAAGGAAGTACAGGCTGAATGAATGAATGGAGGTGGATAGAAAATGGACTACGGCATCAGGCTCAGAGGGTAGTAATCAATGACTCGATGTCTAGTTGGCAGCCTGAATCAAGTGGAGTGCCCCAGGGGTTGGTCCTGGGGCTGGTTTTGTTCAATATCTTCACCAATGACCTGGAAGATGGCACAGAGTGCACCTTCAGCCTTTTTGCAGCTGACATCAAGCTGGGGAGAATAATAGATATGTTGGAGGGTAGGGCTAGGATTCAGAGTGACCTAGACACATTGGAGGATTGGGCCAAAAATCTCGTGAGATTCAATAAGGACAAGTATAAAGTCCTGCACTTAAGACAGAACAATCCCATGCACCAGTGCAGGCTGGGGGTGTCTGGCTAAGCAGCAGCTTTGCAGAAAAGGCCCTGGGGGGGTACAGTGGCCAGTCAGCTGAATATGAGCCAGCAGTGTGCCCTTGTTGCCAAGAAGGCTAACGGCATCCTGGACTGCACTGGTAGGTGTGTTGCCAGCAGGTCAAGGGAAGTGATTATTCCCTCTATTCAGCACTGGTGAGGGGACTTAATAGCAGCCTTCAACTACCTAAAGGAGGATTCAAAAGGATGGAGCTGGACTGTTCTTAGTGGTGGCAGGCGACAGAACAAGGAGCAATGGGCTCAAGTTGCAGCAAGGGAAGTTTAGGTTAGATATTAGGAAGAATTTCTCACTAGGAGGATAGTAAAACACTGTAACAGGTTACCCAGGGAGTTGGTGGAAGGTCCATCCTTGGAGGTTTTCAAAACCTGGCTAGACAAAGCTTTGGCTGGGATGATCTAATTGGGACCAGTCCTGCTTTGAGCAGGGTGTTGGACTAGATGTGACCCCCTGAGGTCCCTTCCAACCCTAACTTTCTATAATTCTAATTATGCAAAGCAGCCTTTGGCATTTGAGTACCCAGTTCCATGTAAATCTACTGGAATTTAATCCAGATCTCAGCCTTAAAGCAAAGCATCTTGTCTTTCTCTTGATTAAAATAATGGATTTCATATTTCCAAATACAGTTTCGAAGCAGAGGGATGGCTTGCATTCTCATTGGTTTCAGCAACAGTCTGCAGCTAAAGCTGTTCAGCACTGTTCAACCCCGTGCAGGAGATTGTCCTCAAACTTCTCGAAGCAAGTTCATTAATAATAACACTTTAGCTTGAAACTATATTTCTGATGGAACAGGTTGAATGAACTGCCATGTACAATCCCACCTATGAAGAGCAGGGAAGACAGGTTACTTTTAGGCCAGCCAGCCTGCCCTTTTTAGAATATTTTTTTCTTTTTATTTTCCACAAGGAAGGCTTCTCAAACTGTAAGCAGCAGACGTTTGGTGCCTTTTAAAGTTTTTTTATTAGTCGATGCTATTCTTGGTCCTTTCGGCAGCACTTGTATTCTCTATTTTTGGATTTGATATTCACAGCAAAAACACTAAGGTATTTACCAACGTTGGGATATTTTGTTAGAAAAACATCTTCAGCAAGTATAATGTGGCTTACCCCCATTTAATCTAATGCCGGGACTTAGTAACACTTGTCACGGGTCAGGGGAGCAAGGGGAGATGAAATCTCATTGGGATGGTGGATATAAAAGATGGTACAGTGGGGTGTAAGGTTGAGGACTGAAACGTGGACCATGTGGACCATGGAGAATAGATCTATAGTCGAAAGCAAGAGCCAGGTGACGTGGGAACAAAACCAGAGACAACTACAGAGCCAAGCTCAGAAGCAAAGGGATGTCAAAGACTGCTTGAGATCAAAGAGAATAAGAAAATGGGAAACGTCAGCCGCCACCAAAGGAAGTAGTGTTTTCTGTGGATTGAGAGAGCCTAGTTAAAGGGCAAATGGTTTTATTTGAAACTCTTAATACACATTTGCTAATTTGAGGAGATAGGGGTCTATGATAAAAACATTGTTTGTTTAATAAGAGGGAAATGAGGACAGACGTTTGTGAAATCTTAATCTGAAAAATATGGATTGTGTTAATAAAACTGAATTCAGCCTTTACAAGGTGTTTTAAGTATAGCTCTATTATTATTTAACTTCAGCTGTACTTTGCAACAGTCGTGAGGTATGCCCAAATCAGACATATCTTTTTGTTGTAATAGTTAACTTGCGGTTAAAAGCAACACCCAGGGCTATGATTGGTCAAAGAAACTGCAGAACGGATTTGTCTTTTTTTTTTTTTTTAATTTGTTGCCATCACGCACTTTGCTGCTTTCTTTTTTCCAGGCAGGTCCCCCTATCTTTGTCTGTGTTTCACATACCAACAGGGGAAATATTTTTTTTTTAAGTAGAGAGCTGTGTTTTTTAAATCACAAAGGCTGCTTGAAGATGTTAAAAAAAATCCTCTTTAAACTCCATGCACCCCCCATGCCGAACCCCGCGAATGCCCAGAAGAGGCATCGCATTAGTTGGACCTGGCTTGCCCAACATCTGTATAGATCAGGCGCTTTAGTGGGGCTTTTTGGCGCTTTTATCTAATAGCTGATTGACTTAGCTTTAAGGTTAAAAGGGGACTCTCTTAGATTCATGTGTTTTCTTTCAAGTACGCATCACCTTGATGACATTCCCAGTTATATTTGTTATTAAAAAAGGGGTTTCTGGCCATGTGGTTCTTAGGCAGTCTGTGATGGACAGTGGGGTAATACAGAATAAAACCAGATTTGATGCTTTGACAAGGATAACGGTGTAGCACAGTTAAAGTGCTTTTGTGTCTAGCTTACTCTCCATGACTTTAGCTTTGTAACGTAAATAAAGTGCAACACCCTCGTCTACATGGGATGACGCCAATAGAAGTCTAAATGCGGGGACAAATTGTGATGCTTGACTAGGCACCGTATTACAGTTCATCCATTATATAGCATGAGAGCCATATGGATGTATTAAAATAATCAGTGTGTGCAGTTCATAGCAGGAATAACAAATGAATTTACTTTGTAATATTTTGCTGTTTGTGGTACCTCTGGGCTGATGATGTTCAAGTGCTCCCCCATCATGAATGAATTATTCCTCCTCATATGTATTGTAATTAGTCCTACTTTGTAAGTAGGGAAATGGAAGAAAGATCTTGGCACCTGTGAAAATCAGGCTATTATTTAAGTCCTACGTGGGATGGCATTGCCTGCGTTTTGGCCATTGTGATTTTCCCAATGGTTAAATGTCAATAGCGTGTTAGATTCAATATTTCTAACTCCCAGTTATCTGCTTAAGCTATTAAAAAATGCTGCTTCCCCCTTCCCCCCACCCCTTCACAGTCTCTCATGGGACCGCATTTCCTCCCACAGTACTTGAGTAAGTACCTCTCTCAATTGACATGAGAAACTAAAGGGCCTGTTTTCCTTGAATTGAAGTTCTCACTTTCACCTGGCATTAATTTTCCTGCAATTTATCTAATGCTGATTAAATAGATTATGAAAAAGGCTGTAAACGTATCATTATAGCGTTTCATCCAAAACACTAAATTTTGTATGGTCCTTTGTCATTAATTGGGACTAATTTTCTCTCCAGAGCTATGTTGAATTTATCCTCCAGTGTCTTCTCCACCTCTTCCTCTTGAAGGGTCGTGAATTCTACAACATCCATGTCCTCCTTGTAATTGTATGTTGTCTCAGTGAGCATCCATCCAATTAATGCCCGAAACCCATCTGTGGTCTGAATAGAGCAAATAGACTTCTTCGTAAACAAAGAGTCTGGGGATGTCTGAAGATACGTACATTGGAACTGGAAATCTGCCACTGTTCGTGGCTCAAGACTGAAGAAGTAAAGTTTCCTGCACTCTCTTTTTTCTAGAAGATCAGAATCAGTGAAGTGTTGATTGGGAATATATTGTTTCCTCCTTATTTTCTCATAGTACCAGATCCCATCGTTTTCTGTGAAGCGAAAGATGCCAGGAATCTGTGGCTGGTCTTTTCCAGAAATAAGTTCCATCGGCTGCCACATTTGACCAGACACGCCAAAACCTGCATCCACAATGTAGGCTTTGCCACCAATAACCACCTTTATGAGAAGATGGGTCATTCGGATAGCGTATGTGTTTTGGTGAGGATTGTATACATACGCCCCCAAAATGGTAGTATCATACCCCAGCGTTTTCAGAACCCAGTTTAGCAGCTGATTGTTTTCCATGCACCATCCACCACGCCTCTTCATCACGATTTTGTTGTAAACTTGGTCTAACTCCAAAGTAATAGTTTCCCCACAGTGAATGCTTAGGTTTTCAAAGGGGACAGCTCGGATGTGGTGCTGGAAGACTGCAGTTAAGGTTTCCAGATCTTGTTTGTCATATGAGCCTTTGTATCCAATTCTCGAAAAATATTCCTCAATGTTCATTTTTTCTGTAAAGGAAGTAACATTTTTTTTTAAATCCATATTATTTATGATGGTGTTTGTGAAGATCTTTCAATCAATGAGAGGTAGCAGATACATGTACATACATGCACATATCCCCAGCACAACTCATTCTTGGCATACCTGACTTTCTCCATTTGTAAGCTGAGAGAAATAATAGCCCCTGTACATGTTTGTAAAACACTTTGAAACGGTTGGCTGCGAGGTACAATGTAAATGCTGAGTTGTATCATGAAGTCAGCTAAGCATCCCAGCGGTTCAGATGATTATCATCAAATCAAGCTTCTGACCCCTTTGAGAGTTGCAGCTTTGTACAGTTTCTTATCTGATATAATCATTGCACAAACTCAATTATGATTCTAATTAGAGGCAGTATAAGCTGAAAGACAAGTGATCATGACTGCTGTCCTCAGATCCCGGTAGTATTTACTGGGAGCAGTCAAAATGCTCATAGGCAGTTCACAGGCTCGCTAACCTTGAGCTGGTTCAAAAGTGTCTAGGTCGGCCCCCGTGGATCCTAACTGGCTACGGTTTCTGGCTCCTTCCCCACCTGACACAACACGAGCTCAACTCATGATCAGTGCTTCTTTGTAAGAAGTTATTCGGCCTTTTTTGTCACATTTCAGTGCCATTGAGAAATTATGCATAGCGATCTTCAACCCTTCTCAATGGTTCATCATACATCACATCCCCCTGTTCCAAGTTTGGCACTGTAAGTACCAGCATATTTCTCTGAAAGCGGGAACCTTATGTGCAATACTTCGGAGGTTAAATTTCAATCGTTTCCTACATCTTCAAATGTTTAGTTTCTAAACCATTCCTTAAGCTATCCTGAAGTAATTTGCATCTGTAATGAAAGTTTTGTCAGCAACAAGAGGAAGATCAGGGGCAGTGTGGGTTCCTTACTGAATGGGAGAGGCAACCTAGTGTCAGATGATGTGGAAAAGCTCCCAGACTGCTGCACCTGGCAGCACGGTATGGGGAGAGGAGGAGCAGCTAGCAGTGGCAAAAGAAGAGGTTAGGAACTTTTTAGAAAAGCTGGGCTTATACAAGTCCGCGGGGCCAGACACGACGCGCTCAAGGGTGCTGAGGGGGTCGGCCAACGTGACTGCAGAGGCACTGGCCATCATCTTTGAAAACTCATGGCGATTGGGAGAGGTCACAGATGATTGGAAAAGGGCAAAAAAGGCCCATCTTTAAGAAAGGGATGAAGGAGGATCTGGGGAACTACAGACTAGACGGCCTCACCTCAGTCCCTGGAAAAGTCATGGAGCAGATCCTCAAGGAATCCATTTCTAAGCACTTGGAGGAGCAGACGGTGATAAGGAACAATCAGAAGGGGTTCACAAGGGGCAAGTCATGCCTGACCAACCTAATTGTTTTCTATGATGAGATGACTGGTTCAGTGGATGCAGGGAGAGGATTGGACATGATATACCTTGACATTAGCAAGGCTTTTGATACCATCTCCCACAGCATTCTTGCAAGCAAGCTAAGGAAGTACGGGGTTGGATGAATGGACTGTAAGGCAGATAGAAAACTGCCTTGATTGTTGGGCACAAAGGTTAATAATCAATAGCTCAATGTCTAGTTGGCAGCTGGTGTCAAGTGGAGTGTCCCAAGGGTCAGTCCTGGGGCCAGTTTTCTCAATGCCTTTATCAGCGACCTGGAAGATGGCACAGAGTGCACCCTCAGCAAGTCTGCAGATGAAAACAAAGCTTGGGGGCAAGAGTAGTTATGCTGGAGGGTAAGGCTAGGATTCAGAGTGACCTAGACAAATTTGAAGATTGGACCAAAAGAAATCTCATGAGGTTCAATAAGGACAAGTACAAAGTCCTGCGTTTAGGATGGAACAATCCCATGCATTCATAAAAGCTGGAGACCAACTGGCTAGGCAGCAACCCAATGGAAAAGCACATAGGAGTTACAGAGGACAGTAAGCTGAATATAAGCCAACAGCGTGCCTTCGTTGTGAAGGAAGCTAGCGGCATACTGGGCTGCATTACTAGGAGCGTTGCCAGCAGCTTGAGAGAAGTGTTTATTCTGCTCTATTTGACACTGGTGTGGCCACATCTGGAGTCCTGTGTCCAGTTTTGGGTCCCCCACTACAGAAAGGATGTGGACAAATTGGAGAAAGTCCAATGGAGGGCAACAAAAATGGTTAGGAGGCTGGGGCACATGACTTGTGAAGAGAGGCTGAGGGAACTGGGCTTATTTAATGTGGAGAAGACTGAGGGGGAATTTAACAGCAGCCTTCAGCTCCTTGAAGGCTGGTCCCCAAAATGGTAATATCATACCCCAACATTTTCAATGTGTGGCCTTCAACAAACCAAATTTCTGTACACCTGTACACACAATTACATTTACAAATATCCCAATATGCGTCAGACTTGGTCTATTCTATTATTCCCCTCCCCCCCAAAGCCATTTTGTAATACAAAAAGCAAAGAATGTCATTTTGAAAGGTTGAATGATCTTTCCCCTCTTAGGAGGAAATCATTTGATTATTGGCTAGTTTATTTATCTTTGCTTTCTTTATTAAGACTATATTGCAGCTGCAGGATGAAAAAAAACCTAAAAATTAATACATTTTGAAAATAAATTGGAGACTGTAGAATGCCTGACTCCCAATGAATGCATCTGGTCCGTTCAAATGCAGCTGCTAATAAAAGCCAATGTCATTTTCCTACCAGTTATGCCATTTTTCAGAGATATTTAGCCCCAGCTGGCCATAATTTGTTTCCTTTTCTATAGTTTCCATACACCATATTCTAGAAAGATTTTTCAATTTGGATTGCACACACCCACATGCCTCTAACCATACACACGGATTGACTTTAAAAAGGAACTTACTTGTAAAACAGCCCCGGCAATGATTGTATTGGTTTTCAGTCCCTTACAAGATTTTGGGGGGGGTAGGGGGTGTTGGCTTTTGATCTGTTTGCTGCTGCGCTGGCAGTCGATATAGCTGAGAAGTGACATAGATTCAGGCCCTCTGCAAATGCTGTATCTTAAAATCCAAGAGGGGACAAAGTCCATCTGAAAGGAGTGCGTGTGTTTGGTCTCCAGTGATCCATGAGTTGATTAAACTTTTTCTTTCCACTGGTTAAACCCAGATCAAATGAGTTTTGTTTTTTTTCCCCTTAAAGGTTGTTTCAGTTTTGCCTGATTTTTTTAAATTCCCTTTTAGTCCTTAGCACCACAGAAATCCCCTCTTCCCGTCTTGTGGAGAAATATATTTTTCAGGTATTGCAGGATAAATTTTCAAAGGGCATAATACATAGAGCTATTCTTTGTACTAGGCACTTCTTTTTTGAAACCTTGCAAAAGTTCCATCATGCCAGCCTAATGCGGTACAGATGCACAATGAATACCATCACAAGCACATCTTAAACATCACTGGCTATATTATAACAAAATAAGAATTGTATTTCAGTAGTAATACTTGGCACTTCACATAATCAATGTAAAGATGTTTAATTGAATCCTGTTCGTTTCTTAAAGCATCGTAGGTACTCAAATACTTAGAAATTCAGGCCCTACACTTCTAAAATTGGGCTTCCAAATGTCAAGTGGTTTTGAAAATAGGACCCTATATAAATTGCCTACAGTAAGTTGGTTTCTGAAAAGGTACTAGGACGTAGGCCATCCAAGTAGTTCTCAACATCAGCAAGGCTAGATTTGATTTAAATCGAATCGATTTAAAGCGCTGGTCAGGAAACCTCAATTTAATCATTGTTTTCTACAAAAAATGCATTCTTGTTGTTGTTTGATATCCTCTATCCATTTAACTTCTTGCAACTGCACCTTCAGAGAGAGGTAAGGGCTTGGCTTCGTGTACACAAACTTGCAGACAGACCAGAGGGCTGATCGGGTCTCGTCTCTAATCTCCATATACTGCTGTGAACGAGGATGTTATCTCTGCAGACACAAATCCACAATTTGAGAACAAACAGAGATGCTTAATGGGATCTTCTAGACTGAGCACTGAGTCCCATTGGGTAGAGTGGGGTTTTTTTCTTTACTCTTCACTAATCTATAGAGGAGCCTCTGGGAACCCCATAAGATTGGGCACCTAATACAGTCCACGGCCTGTTGCGACCTATTTATAACACTTTTTTAAAAAGCTTACATGAATATATGTCTCAAATAGTATATAATTAGAAGTTACAATCCCTATTCCATTATGATATCTTTGAGCTTTAACATATCTTAAATAAAAACTATCTTTATATAGGGTTGTGAGGTTTTTTAAAAAAAAAAAATCAACTTAACAAAAAATAAAAAATACGATTAAATCAAAAAATCTGATTTAAATAAAATCCGATTTTTGGATTTAAAAAAAAAAATCATTGACTTTTATTCACCCTGACTCCAGTAAATAATTACCTACCTGATGATCTGTTGTTGAACTGTGGGTTGTTGAAGAAAAAAAACCTGCTTCATTTTCAGTCTGATCTGTTTTATGTCACGTGAATAATCCCCACAATTACGACTGGACAAGCTGAAATTTAAATTGTGTATAAACTAGAAATTGTGTATAAACTTTGTGCAAAGGGATGGCACAGTCCATCTTGTATTCTACATTAGGTTTTAGTCACCCATAATATCATAGTAAGAAATGTCAGAAATAAAAACATAAAAGAAGAACAAAAATCAATATAGATTTAGAAATAATTTCTATAGAAGAAAAGGAAACAAACTGATCTGATTTGAAAAGGTGAAAAAGTATGAGAAAAGATAAGACATGGATACATATAATTAATGATATAATTAAGTTTCCTGGATTTCAACCCAAAAACTCAACCTACAGTCACTTTAATGTTACTTTAAGGTTAATATTTATGGGGCATGTTATGGTTAGATTTTAAAAGATCTATCTGGTTCAATTATATAGAATTACACCATATCAGCTAAATTAGCTGGTAAACCAGGGATGTTAACTGGTATGAGTTTCTCATCTAGTGTTATGTTGACTTTGTCTGTTAGAGTCTATTCCATCTTTTCATCTGTAAGAGTTGTGATTTCCACCAGATCCACGTTCTCCTTGTATTTCATGTCAGTGAGTGTCCATCCAACCAGGGCTCGAAGCCCACCAATGTTTTGAAGGCAAATTGACTTTTTCCTGAACCATGTATCTGAAGATGTCTGGAGTTATGAATTCAGTGACTGGAAGTCACTTATGCTTTGTGGCTCAAGACAGACAAAATTAGGAAAATGTATTCGTTCAGTTTTCGGGTGATCACTGTTGGAAAAGTTGTGGTTGAGAATGCACTGCATCCTGTTTTAGTTTTTCAAAGTACCAGCTTTCATTGACTTCTAGGAAGTGAACGATTCCAGGAGTTTGAGGCTGATCTTTCCCAGAAATCCCCATACTTGGTAGGTAATCACCAAAGCCACCATCCACAACATAGGATTTTCCATCAATAATCGCCTTTGGTTGAATGTGGTTCATATGAGAAACATATATATTTTCTGCCAGATCATAAGTGTTTCCCCCAAAGATAGAGATATCATACCCTATTACATGCTAAGTCCAAAATAAAAGGCGATTATTTTCCATGCACCATCCACCCTGTTTTTTCCTCACAATTTTGTTATAGATTGGTACTATGTCAAACTCAATTGTTTCCCCATGGTGCATGCTGAGGTTTTGAACAGTCAAGGTTTCCAAGTCCAGATTTTCATAGAAGCCTTTATAAGAAAGTCTTGTGAAATATTCTCTGGCTTTCATTTTTCCTGTATAAGGAGCAAAACAACTCAATGCAGTGGAACTGATCTTCAGCAACTCCCTCCTTTTAAAGCACAGATAAACTGACCTGCAGCTTTACCCCTTGCCTCTGCATCTAGTGTTTAAAAGAAAACTAGGGAGATAGGTGCACGCTGGAGCTATGTATCCTGATGTTTTCATAACAGAAATAAAGTTAGGAGCAGGTACAAATTGTGCAGCACCTTTCCAGCATGCTCCTATGACTAGGTCTTTTGCTCTATGTATGTATGTACGTATGTACCGCATCCAGCACAATAGAGGTTTGGTTTAAGACTGGAGTGGGTGCCAGCGCAATGTAAGTATAAATGGGGGTCAGTGTTATGAATCAACTAAGATTGCAGGCTGAAATCTAACACGTTAGCAATTTAACCAACAATGCTTGCCTATACAATGCATTTTATAACTAACACTTGGATAACCTTATTATTTGGCCCAGGGAATATAAGCTTACTCATTTAAAAGACAGGCCCATCTCAGATCATCTTGTTTCTTAGCGTTATTTAGATCAGGACAGTTGGTTACTCCTAACCCATCAATATACTTATTTATTCACCTGTATGTGCTCAACAGTTTCCTTAAACTGCTGCCACATGTTCTCGGCATGTCCTATATAAAGATATGCTGAATAGGGCTATGTGAAACAGCACTGTTTCACTGTTTCGATGGGACAGTGTTTCATTTTGAGTTTCATTTAGTTTTGAAAACACTGTTCCATTTCGTTTCGTCAAAACAGTTTCACAATTTCAACACTGTTTCGACGTTTCGCCCATAGGCTATAATGGGGAAGCACAAAACGGTGGTATCCAAAACAAATAAGGTGAGATTTCTACAAAATAACTTTGTCATTTTTTGGCAGATTTGGATGAAAACAGCAGGGATGGTAGTCGCTGCTGAGGCCACAAAACCTGCCAAGTTTCAAGGAGATAGGTGCAGGGGTTTCTGGGAGACTGTACCTCAGGCTGCCAACAAGCAAAACTTGTGTCACATGTGCAGTTCGTAGGCTTGTCTGTGAAAAGTGGTTTGTAAATTCAAACAAGCACTGAACCTTGCTAACCTCATCACCAGAAGCCAACTTCCTTCAGCCCAAAACACACCAAATGGATCCAGGCCACGACATGACAAGACATGCAAAACCTGCCAACACTATCTCCAGTATGGAGATATTTTCACAATACCATCACATATCTCAGGTTTTTAAAAACCTACTGCTTCAATGCAGGGCTCCCATTTCATCTAGACACACCCTAGAGTGCTCTAACAACAGCCTGAAGCTGCTCCCAAGTCTAAGTCCAGCTCCTTGAGTTCATAGTCCTGGCTCCTCCAGCTCCAGCGTGCACTCCTCTGTAGCCCTGATGAGGTTCCACATTCAGGCTGCCCTCTCTTTCCCTTACTCCAGCCCCAAGCTTTGTCTTCCTTTTTCCCATGCCCCCCAGCTCCTGGGGGTTTCTGGGAGCTGCAATCCTAATTAACAGTCAGCTCATCTCTGCAGACTGCCCCCGGTTCTTCCTGTTGTTACACATGTGACAGTCACATTACAATATTGTCATGTGAGAAGCCCTGATGTGCTAGATAACTTGTGTGTTACAAGTCCACATGCCAAAAACAAGCTGACAAAAACAATGAGATCCCATTCAGATCTTGCTCATGTTAAGTTTTCTTCCCCCAACAGCCAATTTATTTAATTCCTCATCCCTCTATCTTTGTAGGATCGGTTTGGTAGGCAACAAGAATCGGACAACGGTGCTGTCTGGCTGCAAACTTCCCAGGGCATAGCTCTGTTTCCCTAGAGTTAGAATGATGAATAAGAAATGATTCTTCACTGTTAGCATTATTGAAAGTTTGATTCCTTTGCATGCAGCTACATTATTTATCTGAGTGGCAGGTGGATTGCATATGACCACGGAACTGATTTTCATACACTATTTTTGGACGCAAACTAGTTAGTTTAATTCTCAAGCACTTTTTCTTGCAAAAAGCACAAATTTGGTCCTTCAACTTGGAAAAAAAAATGTTTGCTGCTTTGCAACGCATTTCACTGCGTCAGCCCTATTTGCTTTTGTGATTTTAATTTCCCTTATATGAAGATGAAAGGAGGTACAAAATGGAAAGCAATGGAATATTGCTGACCCAAAGCAAGCTAATCAGTGGCGTAAGCTAATTTCCATACAGAACAAAATTGTGTCGAACAGATTAATTTAAAAGTAATACATCTGAGTACTCACCTGCAAACCAGCAAGCATCAGACTTTCTGTTCTGGCTCATTCCAAAAGTCTCTGAAAATGCTTGCACTGTACCCTCCTGGTCTTAAAGATCCATTTGCATTATGTGGCAACATCAGAAATGCTTCACTTCCTGTTGGATCCAGCTTGGGAAAAGGGGGTAAAGTCATC